AAAATCTTTCAAATGTGACTGTAGCTCTTTTTTCCCCCAAAATTTTGTCTTCAAAATAAGGGTGCATCTTATATTCCAAAAAATATGGTAATTTGGCTTGTTTAACAAGTTGTTTGTGTTGAGCCTTTCAATAATGTTAGGTTATGTGTGTCCCAGTGTATGTTTGAGCAGGATTAGTGAAACCCATATATCCCATATAGCGGGTGCCACTATAATGATATTTTTTATTTTGTTGTGATATACTGAGTAAAACTTCGTCAAAATATGTTTTATATGAATCAGTAATGTCTTGTAAGAGTACATGCAGTCGTTTTTTCAAAATCAGACAAATAAAACTCTGATTATAGGAAGTTCTTGCCCCAGAATATATATATATATAACAGTCTCCATAAATAGCTGTTGGGACATTTGTAACTCAATAACAATACCTGTTGGGATTCTTATAACCTGATAAATAATGGCTTTTAGGACTCGCGTAACCCAACAACAATACCAGTTGGGACACACGTAACCCAACAAAAATACTTGTTGAGACTTTTGTAACCTGACAATGATGTCTTTTGGGACTCTTGTAACCTGGGATATAATGCCTTTTGGAACATATGTAACCCAACAACAATACCAGTTGGGACACACGTAACCCAACAAAAATACTTGTTGAGACTTTTGTAACCTGACAATGATGTCTTTTGGGACTCTTGTGACCTGGGATATAATGCCTTTTGGAACATATGTAACCCAACAGCAATGGCACTTGCAAATTTCACAAACTTTTCATTGCAAAAACTTCCACAAAATGCAGAAATCATTTCTTATGTATCATTTATACATCCTTACACATAATTTTTATTTTAAGAATACAGAAGTCATTTTGAAAGGGTTAATGCAAACTGAAAATCGAAAGATGGTCACTGTGTGCAGATTAGATCAAGACTGAATTCTGTTTGTTGGCTATCAGGATTGTCAATGTGAAAAAAATTAAGAACAAGAACCAGGATGGATGAGTTAGCTTGGTTTAACTTGGAAAATTAAAAGAACCTTGTTGTAAATTTTGCCTTAGATAAAGTAAGTGGGACTAATAATAATAAAAAATTAAAAATTCAGTCTGTTTTTGATAAAGTGTCTTAAATATGATAATTTTTTTTCAAGTATTTGATATTGGTATCTTCCGTAAAACTAGTTTGAAACTCTTAGGTGAATAGCACACAAAAATAAGTAGTTAAAACATTTTGTAAATGTAGAATGATATACAGATGGCATTGCCAAAAAACATGCAAGGAAGAGTATAGGAACAATACATCGGTATATAGATCATCCATACATGACTTTCAATATCAAAATTTAATGTTACACTGCAAAATGCACACTTGACTTTAATATTACTGCAGTTGGAAGTTATATATTCCTGACTGTTGGTATACAGTTTGTTTATCATAATATCTTGGTCATGTCAGGGTAGGCATCGATGTAGTGTAACTAAGAGCCTAAGACTTACGTACAAGGAAAACCAAGTTGATTCAAAACACGTCTTGATTATTACAGACTTTTGCTACGAGGTCAGTCGATTTGACTGACCTTTTAACCATTTTCTACTTGTGCATTTTACAGTGTATCATTAAATTTTAATGTTGAAAGTCATGTAGGGATGATCTATGTGTAGCTGTATCGACCTTATATTTTTGTTTGCATTCTCTTTGGCACTGCCATCCCTACATCATTTTACATTTACAAAATTTTTTTATTACTTGTTAAACAACACAAATTAACTGTTTATGCTTGTAAAGATCAACCTGAAATCAGCTCTTTCATCACTGACATGTAAAGATTTCAATTTACTCGTACTTGCTAATCCTAATGATTTTAGAAGTAATGCTATCCACTTTATAAAATATAAGCCAATAATTGTTTTTAACGATTCAAGTGAAATGATTGGGGTGACCTCTGAAACTTTATTTCTAGTAATTCTTGCTTATTTTCGTTTTTGTCTTGAATTGTCTTACCTATTTTTCTCTTCAAAAGGTTGGCAAGTATGGTTATAAACTTTCCGAACCATTTCTGTTTCTCAAATTGACATTCAGCAAAGAATCAGAACTTTTATCTCCCCAAGTAAAAACTACGAAGATAAAACATTTGACCTTTAGTCTCCCCAAGTAAAACTACGAAGATAAAACATTTGACCTTTAGTCTCCCCAAGTAAAACTACAAAGATAAAACATTTGACCTTTAGTCTCCCCAAGTAAAACTACAAAGATAAAACATTTGACCTTTAGTCTCCCTAAGTAAAACTACAAAGATAAAACATTTGACCTTTAGTCTCCCCAAGTAAAACTACGAAGATAAAACATTTGCCCTTTAGTCTCCCCGTGTAAAGCTGTGAAGATAAGAGTCGACTTTCTGATCTTTAACTTTCCCAAGTAAAGCCATGTGAGCAGAATAAATTGTCTGACCTTTAACCTCCAAAATAATATTTTCTATTTGGAACGTGTTAGGAGGTATTAAGAAAGTGAATATGCAATACCCATACTTTTATTCTTTTGCCAGTTTTTACCATCCTGTCTTCATGAGGGTTGTAAATGTTGCAGAAAATCTACATACATTTAATCCAGAAACCACTACGCACAATCTGTAAAAAAATTCTATTGGTAAAGATTATATGTTTATGAATAATAGTTTTTTTAAAATAACATCACAAGGACAAAAAAGTTTGCTTAGTTTTATGGAAAACTTCTTATAAGCTAGGCTTTGCCACTAAAAACATACAAAAAACAAAAAAACAACGTTTGTTCGTAAGTGTATAGAAAAAAACAAAAGTTTCATGCTCTTTTTTTTTTCACATCTTTGTCGTTCTGTTGTAACTTAGAGTATTTTATTCTTTTTTTTATAATTATCTGAATATTGCAGGAAAGACACGGAGCTAAAACGATTGGGGAAATCAAACAGTTTGTTGATCGACTGCCACACATGCAAGCTTCCAAAAAATCGCTTGCTACACGTAAGTTGATTATTTAGAGCAAATAGTGTCATATTTATCACCACCACACATAGAAGCTTCCAAAAAATCGCTTGCTACACATAAGTTGATTATTTAGAGCAAATAGTGTCATATTTATCACCACCACACATAGAAGCATCCAAAAATCACTTGCTACTTATTTAGAGTAGATAGTGTTATGTTGAACAATTATCGCAAATTTAAGCTTCAGAAACTCATTTGCTACATGCAAGTGGATAACTTCGTATTAAGTGACTAGCATATACACATCCAAAAAATAATTGCTATACCCAAGTTGCTTCTTCAAGGTTGAAGACAGAGTTTGAGTTTTCAGTTGTTTCAATTCCTTGTTTATTGAACCTAATTATCAATGTAAGCTACCTATGTAGATCAGAACTAATAAATAACCCAGTAATTAATAATGTACTTTAATGTGTTATGGTTCAGTGACTGAGCATTTGGTTAAACACTCTGGTTAGACTGACTTCATCATACACAGATCCAAACTCATTGAATAACAAGTACCTAGTGAATTAGTGTTGTGGTTTAATAAAGTTGTTATTTAGATAATAAACATATAATCATGATAAATTACAATTACTAATTAATCTGATCTTGTATTTTTTTTCCTAGATACTTCAATGGCTGAATTAATTAAAGAAGTGACTGACACAGAGGCATTCCTCGAAGCCTTGCAAGTAGAGCAAGGTGGGGTGTTTAATTCTTTCCATACGCATATCGTTTTCTGTCAGGAGGTTTTATTGAGTTACATTCAAAATTAAACTACTTTATTATCATGGTATACAAATAAACTTGGCATATTAATCCAAATTTTAATATTATGTACAAGTTTTACATTCTTAATTTTATAAGCAAATCCTCAATTTTCCCTAGCATGAGAATTGTGATATTTGCTCTCTAGGTCTCCCCTCTTTAATTTATTTATCACACCTCTGATAAATACAGAATAACTAACTATAAACTTTCATCTGATTATTCTTAGGCCAACTATGGTGTTTATGTTGAATGCTCCTTATTCATGTTGATTTGTTAGAATGTTTCTTTTATATAACTTTGGTGATATAACAGCAAAATAGTTTAATTCAGAAGTTTTATGACATTGAGTTGTAGCTGAAAGCAAAATAAAATTAACCAAGTAGTGTTTCTGCTAATCCTTATGTTACATTTATTTATTAAATTAGACTACAAATAGGCCTAATATTACTAATGTTGTAGAGTCAGTGTTTAAGAAGTTTTAAGTGGTGAATAAATGTTAATTAATAAATATTATTTTGGTATTTTAACATATATATTACCTCTTTGGTTGTAAAACATAAAGCAAAATAAACGTTTATTGCTATCAAATATCTTTTATCCTTTGTACAGTCGAAAGAGTTGAAAATTTGTGTCTGAATGTCCGCACTATGTTTTCTAATTACTGACTTAGTATACAGTGAAAATGGTTAAGTGTGCTATTAAGTCTCTTTCAGAGTACACACATACTTTTGTTCATGATAACATTTATTTTTCTGTATAGTTTTACTAAAAATATGGTGATTAAAGAATTACTTCAAGACTGATGAAACAAGTGAAGAGTAGGTGTATTATGGAAGTACAGACAAATTCGTTTGAGTTAATTCCAAATTGGTCTTACCTCTTTCACTGAAAGCTATCTCAATCCTGGACTACCCTCTAAGCATTGTTAAAATTTTTCATTAACGATGCACCAGTCTTTTATACCCCTTCAGTTCTGTGCCATTTCAGAACATGTGCTGATCTTGTGACTACCCTACACCAATCACACTGCGCCATCTATACTAGCACAGCTAACTCCCTCTACTATTCTAGAACAATCCTCACTCGATTCTAGTGTATAGACGTGTGTTTTAACTAGCTCTCCATGTGACTACAAACATTTGATTGTGCTTGATCACAAATATATATATCAGCTTTGACTTCTTGCATTTGATTTCCACTTTTTTTCTAACATGACGGATGATGAAATTCCTGTGACAGTCGACAATGGTTCTGACATAACTCCCCAGACCCCAGGGTCGAAGATGTCTGCTGGGGAAATACAGGTTTTAGTTCACAGGGAGTTTGGGTCTTAAGATTTTTTGTGAGGACAGATAAAACTACTGCATGGAAATATCTTTCTACTGCACTTTCCACCTGTTACCTTGTCTCCATGTAATCTCCTACGTTAGGTATTGTTGTTTTTCCCAGGAGATCTGTGGTAAGTTTTCAGCATGTATTCTCTCTCTTTTGGAAATGTGTTTGGTTAGAGGGCTTTCCTCGAATCCCAAGAGATTTACGGTCAATGGTCCATCGAGGAGGCTACTCTCTGTTTTCAACATCCTGGAACTTCTGGCATTTTGTCGGGCTCTGTATCATTTCCTGCTGCTCCTGACGGGGCAGGTGGTTATGGTTTATTCCAACTATTCCACTGTCATTGGCTATATCACCAAACAAGGGGGAACCAAATCCAGATCTCTGTAGTTTCAGACTCTGGATCTTCATCACTGGACCCACTACCAATATATGGTAATCTTAGCATGTCACATTTCCGGTGTTATGAATCTGGTGGCTGATCACTTATTTTGACTCAACCAGGTTCTCCCCATTGAGTGGTCCCTTCTTCCACAGGTATTTTAGTGGGTGTGTTCATAACTGGGAACACCACATATAGATGTGTTTGCCACTCACTGGAATGCCAAAATACCTTTCTTTTGGTCTCTGGTTTCACACCCTTCAGCTATGGGAGTAGATGTGTTCAGTCAAGATTGGAAGGGTCTTCACCCATATGCCTACCCTCTGATCAGCCTCCTCTCCAGAGTCTTTTTCCCTTATCCAGACCACTCTTTGTTGTGCCTTTTGCTCTGACCCTTACTGGATCGTCGTTCCCTGCCCTTACCTCTGTTTCAGTCTCTCCTCTGACATCTGCGATCAGACATAGTTTATTTTGATGTCACCAAACTCCCTCTTCATGAATGGCTTTTGTTCGGTCCCTTGCCTCAGCTCAGGGACTCACCCCTTGTGTAGCATCTTTCCAGTTCCATTTCTCTTTCCTCCTTATCTGGGTACCAGAAGCAATGGTCTCTTCATACCTTGGTCCATTCGCCGTGGCCTCTGCCCCTCCCGTCATTCAGTACCTCATCTTTCCCAGTTCTTTGAATGGTTGTTTGTTTAGAGTTTGTACGTATCATCTGTTTCTATTTATAGGGCTGCCCTGTCAAACACCTTCTGATTCTCCCATTTCCAGAAAGCTTTTTCATCCCCTGATCTTTCCCTCCTTTTCCGTTCCTTTTGTCTTGCCCTGGCAGACTGCACTTGTTGATCTCTATATCTTATGCAAGGTGCTTCTACTGGATGTTTTTTGCCCAGATGAACCACACTTGGCATAATCCGATGTATTCAAAGGCACTTCCCCTGCATGCTTTTTGCCCATGTGGACCACACTTGGCCTGTTCACATACAATTCATGGTTCTTTAGCCCTAGCCATGTATAGTTATTTCGTTTTTCTTTGGCAACATACTATGGCTCACTGTCACTATGGACAGTACTACCGGCCTGCTACATATGGAGACAAAGTATGACAGGTATGTTGACAATGGGCTGGTTATGAAAACCCTCACCATTACACTCATACCCGTAATTTGTTTTTTCATTATCCTACATATCCAAGGTGCTTCCCCTGGATGTTTTTTGTTTGGGAGAACTGCACTTGTTGTTCACAATATCTCATGCAAGGCATTTCCACTGGATGTTTTACCCGGATGGATTGCACTGGACATACTCCAATGTAACCCAAGGCAGTACTCTTGGCACATACATATACATGCCTGTTGTTGCTTTCACACTAGACTTTTTGTGTTTGTCAATGCCATACTGTTTTATGTCACGGTTCTACAGCACTTTTCCACTGATTCGATGCTGTACATCTCTTTCCTGAATGCATTGTTGCCTGCCAATTCAATTTTGCCCTCTCTTTGTTCCTGTGTTAATTACCGGGCAAAGAGCATACCTGTCCCAGAAATAATGCTATACCCCACAGGTGCGCTTTCTTTTCATATTTTTGCACACCTGTTCTTTCAGTGCAGTTGCTTTCTGCTTGATTGGATATTCATGCACATCCACTGCCCCTCCACCTTTACAATGTGGGATTCTAGCTTTAAGTGAGGGGAGGTGAGACCATTTTGGAAGTTAACGTTTTCTTACACTGAACATGTATTTCTGGTAGGTACTTACTTCCTATCACTCACTTCCCACCCTTCTTTCCCACTGATATGACAATGTTTCTAGTTTTTATCTGCCATTTCTCAAAAGTGAGGACTGTTCCAGAATATTAGATGAAAGTAACTGTGTTAGTATGGACGTCACAGTACAATTGGTGCAGGGCAGTCACATGATCAGCACGTGTTCTGAAATGGTGCAAAACTGGTGGGGTATAAAAGACTGGTGTGCTGTTAGCAGAAAATTTTAAAAATGCTTAGAGGGCAGTCCAGGATCGAGAGTTAGAGGATGGAAGTACCTATTGGAAATAAATTTTCAGTGTAAGAAAATGTTAACATTTTATAATTTTCGTTAATCATTCAACAATTGTTTCCCATCATTTTTTATGGGCTTTTATAGTAGTTTAATGTAAATTACTCATTATAATATTGTTATTACTCAGGCAAAGCATAATTTTTTATAGCCTTAAGTCTTATTTGGCTACAGAGCCATAAACTAGAAAATCAGACATTTCTTGTCATGCCCACTTGTCACATCCTCTCTTTCACAAATTTTCAGTAGTTTCTCTCTGACGTTTAGTACTATATTATTTATGACCAATAGAAATCCAAAGTTTTAATCTATCAAATGATGTATTATATTATGTTTTCTGTACAGAGAAATGTCTGTTTCACTCCCAGTCCAAACTTTATTCCAATGGGAAACACATCGATGAGCTTAGCTGAATTTTTAACAGCTCTTATCACATAGTTAGAAAGCCAGGAAAAATTATGATAGTTATAGAACATTGTCTGCTTTGCATTATTTAATGAAATAAAAAATTATTCAGTGCAGTAGTATCATTAGTATAAAAAGTATGGTTATGTTTCCTCAACAGTCGACAGCAAAAAAAAAGAAGACCCATTTAAGTACAAAAATTCTAGTTTTTCATGTATGTTTTTTATTTATATTTATAAATGTAACTAAAAGGTAATAATTTGAAACTGTTTACCTTAGATAAGAGTAGATTAGGTAAAATAAAGAAAAATATTTATAATAATAAAACTTTCACGAGGTATGCTCATGAGTAGCCTGTGCATTACTAATTCATTGGGATAACATGAGCTACTTGTTTGCCAAGTGATTAACAACTTGTGTGGTGGGAATATTAGTTAGACACAGTTCAAAGAACAGATTATGAGATTTAAGTTATTTAGGATAAACAAATGCAGTTTCATGTTTGAATTTGAAGGCATTCTAGGAATAAAAAAAATGGGTAATTTAGATTTCTATTTTGTTTATGGTGGTTACATGGTCGGTTAATTTGACCAATCTTGAATAGAGTTAGGGTAGAGAAAAATAAAAGATAAAAAAATTAAGTTTTACTGAAAAATAAGTTTGAAATATATTTAGAAGGTTTTAGAGATTACACAAATGAAATTTCCAAATTTTTCAGATGAATAAAAGTATTTTTAATCTCAGTATGAAAATTACTTTGCATTCGAAGCAGTTAACACTCTGACTCCACATATTCAAGGAAGAATTTTTAGTGAAAATACTTCATTAAAAATTCTGATTTTTTGTCTAAAAAAGGCTTGTAATGCTTATTGAGAGCTTGCAAAATTTTGTGAAGATACACAAAACATATTAGATGTTATAGTATGGAAACTCTGGTGGTCATTTTGGGGTCACAAGGTTGTTGTAATCCATTTAATCTGTAGTGGGATGGTCAAATACCTGCTGTAACAGAAAGACTCAATTCGACAACTTTAAGTAATTATAGTCCATGTTAGCAAACTCTGGTGGTCATTTTGGAGTCACGAGGTTGATGTAATCCATTTAATCTGTAGTGGGATGGTCAAATACCTGCTGTAACAGAAAGACTCAGTTCAATGACTTTAAATAATTATAGTCTATTTTAGCAAACACAACACACAATATTTATAAGATAGTAGTGTATTGCTCTTGGATATACAATGCAACAGCTGTTGTTTTAAAGTTTTATTTGTTTTTTTAACAGAATTCATGAACGGAATTGAGACGGACAAGGCAAACCCTTATATAGAAGAATGTATAGCTAGACAAGAACCGATAATCAAGGTAAAAATTGTGATCAGTTTAAATTGCTTTTGTGAGAGAAGTAAAATCAGTAAAATGTCTTTTCTGAAAGATGTAAATTAAGTAGCTGTATCATTTTCACTTAAATGCAGGTTTACTTGAAAAGATTAATAGTTTGACTAGCAGCGAACACAGCATAGATAGTCCAATGTTCAGGTTTATCACTGTAACAAAAGTAAACTTTTACATTTAAACATAGAACTGTAAACAAGTTAATTTTTTTTTCTGTTTTCAATTGTCAGGTTCTCAGACTCATCTGTATGCAGTCAGTAACTAACAATGGCCTGAAGTCCAAACTTCTGGAATACTACAAAAGAGAAATTCTACAGGTTCAGTATTAAGCAATGGCTTGAAGGC